CCGCCTTCGCCCACACGTGCAGTGGGCTGAAGTAGTCCCCATAAGCTTGTAAGTATATACAAATATATATATGTATATATATTAATATATATATATATATATATATATGTACAAGCTTACATGAATCCCGCCCGTTGTGGCTTTGGTAGCGCTTGTGGTTAACACGCGCCCGCAAGAAGCCTCATGAAAAATTAAAATTATAAAAAAATTAAATTAAAGTGGAAAAAAAGACAAAAAGTCAAACACCAAACACAAACGATCTCGATCGCAGTTTAACGCTTCTTGGCCCCCTACCTAAGTTCACACACACATACATGCATACGTGCATGTGAGTGTCTGTACATGCATAAGCATTCGATTGGCTGACTAACTGTCACTCTGTCGCTCATGACGCCGTGACGACGCAAAAGCGAAATGTGAAAAAAAATATAAAAAAAATTGTAAAATAAAAATGCGGCTTCAATAACATTGATAAGCACCTTAAAATCTAGCTGATGCATAACAAATGCGGACAACGGCGCACACATTCACACAAATACAAAATATTCTCCTTAAAAGAATAACCCAACGAGCACAAGAAAACTTACACGCCAATCTTGATTAAAGCGAAAATTCCTTACTTCTCAATGAGTTGTTTCGACGCTTTCGAACCAGCTGGAAAGAGGTGGTTACTGTTATGCGCGGTCTCATTAAATGCTGACCATATCTGGTTCTTTGGTTTAAGTCTGGAAAAGTAGGAATAAAGTCGACTACAATACCCATATGTGTAATTGTGTCAGTATTACTGGGGTATTTAGAGTTATCACGAGCTCCTCATCTGCAATGGGTGATGCTTGAATTCCACGAACGCCTCCTTCACTAAAAGAGAGTTCAAGAAGGTGTTGATGAACCATCGATGAATGGCGTTTAAAGTCTGTCGGAATGCCGTCCTCTCCAGTGCCTCTTGCGTATGGTATTGAAAGGAGTCTGTATATATATATTATGCCTAAATTTAGTTTCATCCTTCCGACGGTAGTATCTCAGCAGATATTGCTTGCATAGCATAGCATTATCCTCCTTAACTCGTTGAACAGTTGTTTCGATGTGAATGCCATGCTCCGACCGCATTAGGAGGTTTTCTGTCACGATCCTAAGAATGGTGTTTTGACTTACTTGCGGCTTCTTCGTCTGAACGACGGAATTGAAATAGAAAGAATGTTCTGTGGGGTGAGGTGGATTTGTTGATCATCCTGTGCTTTCAAAGCTGGCCTGTTTTCAAGCAACTGAACGATATGCCATTACCCAAGCGTAGCCGCACTTTTGATTTTGCTGAACTTTGTCAATGTTGTCGTCCCTTGCATACAGTTCACCATTCCATGATCGACCATAAATCTTAGCTTGTATGGGACACCGCAACGTGTGTTAATCTTTGCGCCACCACTCAAAGCGAGGGTGCTTGAGAGTGCTATTCCGAAATACCCTGTTTAGAGGTTACTAAAGTAGTACAGAGTCTGTTCATCGGCCGAGCTCCTACTCCAATTAGTGATTATTTTCCATTTTTTCAAATGGAGACAACTATACTTTTATTACATTTTCAAGCCGCCTCTGCAAGGCTGTTGTTTTTTTATGAGGTGCTCTTGCTTTCTTGACTGAAATACGTACGGAGGGCTTACCATTCGATGCCGAGGTGCGTCCGCACATCACAAAACTTAATTTCCGTCGCAATCAATTTTTAAAAATTTCGGATAGTAGTCTGGCCAGCGCTCAAACCCTCAGCATCGTAGAATACACCTATTCCAAGAAATTTTGAAAAATCTGCTTGAAACGAGGAAACTTTGCCTTCATTTTGGGTCAACTGACTAAACCAATTAACTTCACAAGCTCGAGCAAATCTGTAAAACCGTGAATGTAGCAAGCTCTACTCCTCTGGTACTTCTGCACTTCGGCCCAATGGTAAAATATGGAAGGTATAAAGAGGCGGCCGCGGTGGCCGAGTGGTTAGTGTTGCTTACTGACATGCGGAAGGCTCGGGTTCATATCCCGGTGCTAGCGACATCCAAAAGTTATGGAAAACTATAACTTAAATTAACTTAAATTTACTAATTGCGGTCACCCCTCGGCAGGGAATGTGTATTTCGGACATAAAAGAAAGGCTCCTCGTAGAAAAACCATCAGCCGGCTTGTTGGGACATGCTTGCCAATGCTCGTACAATGGGACGACTCACAATGCATAGAGTATAAAAACTACGAGTACAATAATAACAACAACAAAGAAATGGTCGAATGACGAGCGTCAGTTGGTGTGACGACGGCTCAACTTAGGAATGCATGTAGTATGCTGGTTGTTGTACATTTATTACTGCTGGTATTTTTGTTGTTGTCTCAACACTGATGGTGCCTTTGTGTGCAGGTATGTGAGACTCAACCAGCCGTGTTTGATTTGGTTGCCCCCCGCACCACCGCTCCCGCTGCCGCCACCAGCACTCCAACTACTCTGTATGCGCTGCCGTATAAATGATTGGTGTGGCTGTGGATATGTGCCGGATTTTCGAATCGTGAGAACCGATTTTGTCGTGTGTTTCCCACGCGAGGTGAACACCTGCCTATTTTTTTTCCTCCCCATAGCAATCTTATTATTACCTACAGTGTGTGCATGGCTTGGCTCTTATTGCCTTTTTCCTTTGCGTTGTCTTTCTTTCTTATGGCAATTTATTGTTTGTTGTTGGAGCTGTGTTGTTATCAACTGACTGACTGCCTGTATGTATGTATGTATGTATGTATGTACATATATATTTACATTTTAACTGAATGCTGTTGTTGTTGCTGTTGTTCGTTATTTTATACTTGAGGCACGTCGTTGTTTGTGCTTGCTGCGCATGCGTGCCTGCGTGTAGAGGATTTCTGAGCAGTCGAAACAACAAAAACGAAAAAAAGAAAAGAACAAAAAAAAAGCAATGATTGTAGACTTTAGGCACTCCAAGTAAGCTACCGCTGTTTCCCATGCTGCTGCCCCTCGGTGCTTTAAGCTTTGTGATGTCAACTTGAAAATGGGTGATTCAGCCGCGGTGGGTTTATGGAACGCCCAAGTAAGGCGCAAATATATTTATGTATATATGTATGTACAAGTATGCAGTGTGCAGTGTGCAGTGTGCTTTACGGCGTTGCAGCTTATGGCAAAGGAAAAAATAAAAGAAAAGAAAATACCAAAGTCTGCTTCTTCGTCGATGGGGCGGTTGGTTGGTTGGTTGGTTGGTTGATTGCTATTGCCGGCACGCTGACTTGTCGACTTGTCGGTTTGTTGCAATTCAATTTAGCCACAAACTGCAGTGATTTCCGCAGACTCCACAGCCACAGCCCGGTTCGCGTTGCTTGATTTTGATGGCAACTGACTGTTGAACGTTTAGACTTGTCTGCTGGCACCGAGGCCGAGTGGCTGAATGGCTGCGTGGTCGCGAGTAGATCTTTGTTGTTATTGGTTTGTGGCACACGCGCACAAGCTTTTGTAAGCAGTTAGCCAGTTTAATGGATGCTTGGCACATGCGCTTGACGATCGGCACGCTCCATGTGCAGCATATGAACATACATAGGTGTATATATGTATGTATGCACATGCAATTTGAAAGCAAGAGACATACAAATCTGCACAAGCCATGAAAAATGTTTGTGTTAAAAATTTTTTTCTGAACGCTTGCGTTTAGTGGGCTCAAGTAATGGGTTGAGTGGTAATTCCTTGGGATTTAAGTGCGTAAATTTGTTGGAAGCGGTTAAATTAATGATATAAAGGATGCGTATTGGCGCTTGGTAAAGGAATATTTATTTTCGAAGCTTCTTAACACTTCTTATTGGAAGCTACTTATCAGAGACCGTAGGTTTAAGTCCCAAAAATACCGATGTTAGCAAAAATGTGCCCTAAAGCGCTTGCCCCTCAAAAGGCAATATCCTAAATACCGAGCTGAGGCGAGGACGAGTCAGTGGAGCACTACATCTGCCACTGCCTTGCCCTCAGTGTGGACAATCGTCGTTTCTCCAGCTCTTTTTACTTCGAATGCCTCGCAGCGCAGATGAGACGGATCTCTTTGCATACGCCAACCATAGATATCACAATGGACGAGCTCACCTAAGTGTGCTTGATAAGAGTGCCGTGAGCCACAAGAACTAACCAACTAAAACTGGCCCTTCTCGAGATGCAAAGATCACGCGCTGCAGGTCGCACATCGTTTGCGGTCGGATATAAGGCGAAAGGTCTATGAAAATCGCAACAGCTCATGAGTCGGCATTAGAACAATTTTTTGATGCAAACGTTGAAGAATACCGTCGACCATGGAACTTTCAACTGTACGAGACATTGATATGTTTCAGCGAGTTAAAAGACCGCTGCTTCGCAGACTTGGTCATGTCGTCCTGGTGCGCGAAAACACACCAGCTTTTAAAATTTTCGTTGTAACTCCGACAGCTGCAAACGGCGAAATAGAAAGACCCTCACTCCGTTGGGCTAAAGAATGAGAAAACGCACTGGACACAATGTTTTCGCGTTTAAGCCACCCTTGAGATTTTGAGAAGCTTAGTAGTGCCCACATTCGAAGCAGTGCAGGCTCGAGTCAACACTTACACGGTCCATCACTTACATCCAAATTTAATGATGCGCTCATTCTACTTCCAGTTTTAGCTAAACTCATATTCTGAATTTTCACTCCCACACGTTCCACATTTGCACAAGAACGAATCAAATTTAATTAAACTCCCTCTCCCCACCCACACAAGCACTTACGCAGCTATCAAACCTCCCACAGCAGCACGCCCAAGGAGAGCAAACTCGTGTGCCTCCTCTACTCATCAGCATTTCACGTGACTACGCTTCCAATCTGAAATTCCTATAGGAATACAAAACTAAAAGACGGCATGCAAGTCACACTCCTGGCATGCACACACACTCAAGACAGCACGTACAGCAACAAGAACAACCAAACATGCTGACGGGCACATTGAAGACCGACTATCATTGAATGGGGCACCAGCAGACACAAACCCACACACGAAATCACTTGAATTTACTTGCAACCAATGTAGACTTGCATCCGCTGCAGCACAAACCTTGCAACACTCACTCAGTTAGGGGTTGTTTCCATCCACCGATCGTCGTTGTGCTGTGCCAGTGGTATAAAAGCAGCACCAAGTCAGAGCCTCAATATCATTCGCATCGCATCCTTCGTCGAGTGCATTGAACACAAAGTGTACGCACTGAAGAATTTAGTAAGAAGAAGATAACGCAAAGAGATTCGTAGTTTGCGCTCGTAAGAATTCTAAAAATATTCCTATACATACACACACCAGCCAGTAAACATGTCGCCCAATACAAAATCTGTACAACAGCAACAACAATTCTACGCAACCAAAACGGAGCTGTACTTGAAAGTAAAGAAACCACTTTTGGAACGCCAGCGCCGGGCACGCATCAACAAGTGCCTGGATACACTCAAGACATTAGTGGCGGAGTTCCAGGGTGATGATGCCATTCTACGTATGGACAAAGCCGAGATGCTCGAGTCGACAATTGCCTTCATGCGGCAACACAGTCGCCGTCAACGTACAACAATGCCTGCTGTGGCGCCACTTGCGCCCATGGACGGCTTCCGCAATGGTTACATGAATGCTGTCAATGAAGTTTCGCGCGTCATGGCCGCTATGCCTGGTATGAGCGTGCAAGTGGGCAAATCGGTGATGACTCATTTGGGCAGCGAATTTAATCGACTACTGCAGCAACAACATCAACAACAGCAGCAGCAGCAGCAGCAACAACAAACAATCGTTGAGCGTGTCGAAGAGAAAGTGATTGAGAAAGTGTCCCGCCCATCCAGTCGCGCCTCCTCTGGCTATCACAGTGATTGCGAGCATGACAGTCCGATGCCATCACCAGCACCTGCAGCAGCCGCCGCCGCCGTTGAAAGCTCCACTTGGCGGCCATGGTTGTAGGACGCTGTTTCGTTTGATTTTGGCGCAACTGAGAGCTTTAATTCTGATTAGACTTGCAACAATGATTGTGTGTTAGACTGTGATCGCATTTATTTGCATTGTTATTGTATCTTCCATTAGCTTTAGTCTTCCAATGGCTTTAATAGTTTATAAGCAATTAGGTATTTGAAAATATTGTAAAAAAGCTTTAATAGTTTGTAAGAAAAAAAACACATTTATCGCGAAAGAATTAAATTAAATGATAAAATTAACTATAAATTAGTTCTTTTATTTGAATTAAATTTTTTTGGGTTTAATAATGAGCATGTACAGCTCAAAATATATGTTTGTGTCCTCTTCCATACAAACGATGCAGGTTTTTGGTGTAATTGCAAGAGAACAAAATTTGCTGCATAAATTAATTAATTTGTTATACCTTTTCCTTCACTTTATTAATTCTTAGAATGGAAGTTATTCATTAAAATAGCCAGAATTCGTAAAATAAATATTTTCTGTTCGATGGCGGCAAAAAGCTCAGTGGTTAAAAGTGGGTACTACCATTTGGAACGTCAGGGTTCTAGGCTTGGTCCGATCAACATTCACAATTATTGAAAATTGTTTTATCAAAAAGAGCTCACCCCTCGGGCAGGGAATGTCAAAGGTTTTTAAATGTATCGCTGACATTAAAAAATGCTCCTCTTATAAATTATCTCTCCAAAAACGCTGAGAGGAGAATTTTCAATGGTAGTTACAATGTTTTTAAATTTACTCATTACTATTTATGTTATTTTATTTTATTTTATTTTATTTTATTTTATTTTATTTTATTTTATTTTATTTTATTTTATTTTATTTTATTTTATTTTATTTTATTATATTTCATTTCATTACTTTTGTTTTAATTTATTTCATATTATATTATTTTATATTATTATCTTTTCTTTTATGTTTTTATTTTCATTTATGTATTTTTTAAATCTTTTTTCTTATTTATATAATAAGTTTATTTATTTTTTTTATTAATGTTTTATTTTTATTTATTTTTGAAGGTTGAAGGCAAATTTTAAATAGATCATAACTGCGATATTGCGAGAATGTGTTATTATAAGTGCTCACACGGCCAACGCGTGTCAGGAAAATAATGTGTAATCACATTCAGCTGGCACTTATGCGCACATACATAAGTCATAAGTTCAGCAATAGTGAAATGCCAGCATTACAAGGACATCATTAACGAACATTCATTTTCCCATTGTAAGGCAGTCATTAAGAGCCACACTCGAATAGCACGCGACCAAAAATCAAGTATGGACCGAACAATGGCAAAAGCGCACTTACGCCAACTTTGCGCCACCCACCGTTGAGCGATCGCGTGGCCACAGCACAAAACGTGGCGCACACGTGCTCCAAATCGATCGGCAGGCGGACAGAAGGGCAGGTACACGTGCACGCACCTGATGTGGTGTGTTTTCCACGGCGGTGTTGGCGATTTTTGGCGTGTGCTGTGCACTGGCATAGAGACTTCAGAAGTGCAATTGTTGTATGGGAAAATTGAGAATTAATTTTTTTATGATAGATGAAGTGAAGTTAGTGGAAGAGCATGACGCTCTTTTGCCACCGAAAATGGTTAGTTGAGGGTTAATTCAATTAAAAGTAAATATTCATTACTTTCTACAACCGAACGTGTGCGCTATACTCATTTTATTGTTTTTTGTTTTCTTTTTTTTCTATTCAATTGGATTGTTGTACTTTGCGCTTTCCCACACTTTGAAGTAGACCAAAAAGAACCTAAATATAAATGAAAAGCCACAACAAGTGCAACCGCACTCTCATAATCTCCTTGGAATACATACACGTATGTATGTGTATGTGCGCACATATTTGCATAAAATTCAATTCTCAGAAAAATTTGCTGTCACCCCAGCGCATATCCTTTTTTGTTGTCTCACTACACCCTTCCTCACTGGCATACTCGTACATACTAACATCCACACGATTGCGAGCTGCGTTCGGTGCCAAATTGCAAACATCTGCCACTTACTTACAACATTGTACGGTCGTATGCATATTATGCCAAAAACCGTGGGATACTTTTTCGAAATTCCAGCGACTTGTGCAGAGCCCTTATGCTGGGAACTGCAAATGTCGAAACAAGTTCAATGATATGCCTTTTCTTCCAGAGGATGCGTAGGTTCGTTCGCTCGTATGTTGATTTGCTACAGCGGGCAAAAGAATACAAAGCAACATGCGCACATAAACTCATACATATACATGCATATGTAACAATAAATAATAAGAAAAGAGGGTTGAGTGCGCCTGTTCGCTTGTCACAGCGCCAAGTGCTGCTACGGCTGCTATTGACCTTAATCAAGTCCGCTCGCTTGTTATTGTAAGTTTGTGGTTTTATTTTTAAATACTTTCATCTTGCATTTGCGCGCTTGTGATATTGCGCTCACCCATGCTGCGCTGCAACCGCACGCCCAACACGTGCAAGCCGCAACTTCTTTGGCGAGACGCATGCAGCTCATGTGATTGCATTTGCTTGCTGTTCTCCCTTTTTTGCCAAAGCTGGCTCTTCTGCGCCCTTCGCAGCCCGCCACAAACACACACACACACACACACACATGCAAACACGCGTACGCACACAAAGAGGGTGGTTTACGTTCGGAAGCTCGGAGCATTGGTGACGAGAAGCTGTAGCGCTATATAAACTGTGCAGCGCTAAGGACGAGCGTGCATTCAATGCAGAGCAGGCAAAGTACGAACAACGAGAGTTGTAAAGAAGTTTTTGAAAGTAATAAAAACGCTTTTGAAATACAAAAATAATTTTCAAGATGCTGAGTAAATTGAAGCTTTTAACTTGGCGCATGCGTCAACTCTTCAAAATCGGCAAGACGAAGCAACAACAGTATGTCACTCACAAGCACAGTTCCAGCAGTAGCACCAGCAACAATATTAACAACAACAACAACAACTGTGAAACTGAAAATAATAACAACGTAAATAGTGAATTAAGTAAATTATGTTTATTACTCACCAGCGAAATGGCCGAAAACGCCGCCAATGAATGGCTGCTGCAACAACAAGTGGCCGCCATACCAAGCACAACCATCGCCTACGCAGAGGATATGGAGCCGAATATGATTTGCATACAAACCGAAGCTGGACACTTTTACTGGAATGCCACAGAGCAATTCAACGAAATCGTTTGGAAGTGAAGAGACGGTGAGTGTAAGCGCAGGAAGACTGTGCACACAACACAAACACACACACACACTCACGTCCTAGAGAAAAACAGAGAAAAAGTTCGCCAAAGAGTCGTTAACAATGTTGTAAACGAAATTTGCAATTAGCGTTCGATGATTGCAAATAACTTGGCGTAGTATACACCGGCAATGGGAGTCATAAATAACAATCAACATACGACAATTAGCGCGAAAACATACGTGTATATACATACATACATACGAATGCATATAAATTGTTTCATACGCGCGTTGCAGCATCAAAGTAAAGCTGTTTTGGCCAAGAGCACACCGGTAAATAAAATAAGCGCTCACCATGAATGAATGAGCCCAACGACCGTAGCGTCTCCTCGGTCGTCAGTAGTTTTTAGTTGCCGTCAACTTCACACAAAAGCTACTAAGCTTCGTATAACCAACTCAGTCGCGAAGTGAGCAGCTCAACTATGAATGGATAAACTGGTTTCTCGCAATGGCTCTCCACACATTTGGTTACTCGCATGTACATACATACATATACGAGTACTATGGAGGAAGAAAGCATCAATGAATATACCTACACATATATATGTATAGAAATACGTATGAATGGCATAGTACGCAATGCAACTTTTTCGCAAGCCATTGAGCAGAAGTCGTAGTTGTCGTGTTCCAGTGAGTAATAACGTAAATAGAGAAGTTGGCAACTGGTTGGCAACTCTTTTTAGTCACTACTCAAACAAGCTGAAGGCTTGTAACTCTTAGCTTCATGGTTCTAGTATTTACGTTTATATAAATATGTTTGAATGTGCTCTTGTATAACTGACGCCGCAGCGAGCTTAATGAATGAAGGAATGTACTCTTCTTGGTTTGTAGCAACAGTCATTGCAGGCGCTCTGCCACTGGGCGTACTCGAGTAGTAATGCAGAGCTGGCGAAGTGTTGTAGATTTACACATAGAATACATATACATATATACATACAAACTAATTTTTAGAATATCATCTATAAATTGTAAGTTGTTTTCAATAAATGCAGAAAAAAATAGTAAAACGAAAATTTTTAAATATTTTTAAGAACTCTAGAAAGGCAGATTCCACAAAATTTGTTACAGCGGTTCCCATATAGAGAATACAAAGGCTATTTTTTTAAATATTAGGTAAAAAGTTCGTTCGGTTTTTTATTGATTTTTCAAAATATGATAACTTTGTGTCCGATTTAAGTCAAATATGCGCCGTTTTTTCGCAAACTTGTTGCCAACGGGATGCCAACTTTTTTATATCCCTCTCGTAGAATGCTGCGTCCCTATTAGCAAAAAACTGGGTGATCCAAATTTCACAGACCAACTTCTCACCATTAAGCACCTTCGCCATGGACAGCAAAAGATGGTAATCCCTTGGTGCCAGGTCCGGATTATAAGAAGCAAATTAGGACCTCCCATCCGAGCTTCTGAAGCTTCTGGTGCGTCACCAAAGACTTGTGTGGTCTGGCGTTGTCCGGTTTGAACACAATTTGGCCTCTGTTGATCAGAGATGGCCTCTTCTGGATGAGTGCTGCCTTCCAGCGGTCCATTTGTTGGCAGTAGAGTGCCGAAGTGAGCGTTTGGCCTTAGGGGAGTAGCTCTTAGTAGGTGATTCCTTGCCAATCCCACAAAACACAGAGCAAAACCTTCCTGACCATCAATTTGGTCTTGGTCACCGTCTGTGCTGCTTCGCCGAGCTTTGACCACAACCGTTTGCGCTCGATGTTATCGTAAGTGACCCATTTTTCATCGCCAGTCGAAAACCGCTTCAGAAACGGGTCAATTTTGTTGCGATTCAGCAGCGATTCACAGTTGGAAATTCGGCCCATCATGTTTTTTCGCGTTAGTTCGTGTGGCACCCAAACATCGAGCTTCTTTTTGAATCCAAGTTTATGCAAATGGTTCCAAACGGTTTTCTGGCTTATCTTTAGTTCCTCGGGAATTAAATAAGTGCTCACGTGAAGGCCTGTTTCCA